CCGAATCTGAAAGGTGAGAAAGAATTTGAGGAATTAAAGATACTCAGGCATATTAATAGTTTTCCAACTAGATATGCTTGGTATCGAACTTATGATTATATGGAGATATTTCTATTCTTAGTAGGGTTCACTATATTTTCAGTTATAAAGTTTAGACATCTTACCTGGAGATATTATGGTTGTCAAAGACCCACTAATAAAGTTTAACCGCTAACTGAAAGTAAAGACATATCTAAAAATAATTTCTCTATGTTCAGGTTTACTATTCCGAGTTCTACAGAAAGAATCTGCACCTGGTAGCTCACAAAGTCTTCAAACAAGCAGCCATGATGAATTTTTGCTTCCACATTTTGAAAATGAAATTTTCAAATTAGATTTGCCAACAAATAAGAAAACCAAAAGGTTTGTGTTTATATTGCAATTCCATAGACATTCTTGCATTTCTTGGAGTGAAAGTTTAAACATCAAAACAAATTTGCCCGTACAAGCCAATCACCAATATTAATTCAGACTGCAAAGTACAAAACGTATTTTCAAAAATTACGCAACACCGAATAAAGAGCTCCTGTTAAAATCACACTTGTCCTGGCGTAAGCTAAGTATTCTTGTTCGTGTTTTTAACATGACAATTGCCATGCAGAGATTGACCTTACTAGTCGATGAATCAATTTCAATTTATTCTTAGTTGTAAACACTCATATAACCTTTCTTACTAAACTAAACTGATCAATCATAATTTCAGTCATTCTCCACAGTTTGCATCTTCATTATCAAAGCTGGTTATTAATTTCCACTTTGCGAAATATCTCGAAGAAAAAGAAAAGATTAGAAAGGCAGCTTTGACTTCCAAAAGTAAGATATATTGGTTTCATCATTCCTTGCATTCTTTATCTTCAAAAAGCTGAAACATAGTAACAAAAATATGCCATTTCACAGCTATTTGCATCTGATTCCACTCAAAAAATTCTCTCAAGTAAGAATTCTCTTTCGGTTTCGGATCCAGCGCTTCCGACCCAGACATGTTGCTTACACTTAATATGAATAATTTGCAGTTTAATTGCGAACCAGTAGTATTTTTAACAATTTTTAAAAATATACAGTGTAATTGCGACTGAAAGCGTTTTTGTACATAATTACTTGCAAATAGGAAATATGACCCACATTGTTATTATTCATTGTTTTGTAAATCATTAAACTGTTCTCCATTTTAAATTAAGCTTTTTATTTAATTTTTTTTCTTTATCAAATGAAACATTTTCAGATCGCCAGCAACTAACTGATGACATCTGGTGGTTTAAAGACAAAGTGATTCTTGACGAATTTCAAATCATAATTTATGAAGGCCAACTAAACATTCCTAATTGGGTTGCAAAACCTTTGGCAATATGGGTGTGTTCCTGGAAGGAAGACTTACTTCATAAAATGAAAATTTCTCAGCAACATCCACATCCAAATATAACCTCTGTCTTTGCTATTGGTTGGTTAAAAGAAGTGAATCGACAATTTGTTGCTACTGAAAGATGCCAGTTCCTAACTCTGGAAGAATATTATGAAGAAAGAAAGATAAAGAATATTCCTTTTGATCCTAGACTTGCCCTCGTACATGAAAAGCAGATAGTTAGTGGTCTACAACATCTGCATAAACATAATATTGTTCTTCAAGATACGAAAACAAGAATTCTGTTTTCACTTGACATGCAAAATGTGAAAATTAGTCTGTTAACCTCTTTTACAGGTACTATGTCATTTAAGTCAAGACCTATCTCTGATAGTTATAGACTTAGGCCATTGACGTCAAGACATATCGCTGATAATTATGCACATAGGCCAGGTTCCATGACATTAACGTCAAGATCTTTCCCTCATAGTTATCAACCTAGGTCAGTACCCGTGCAATTTGCGCCAAGAACTATCTATGGTAGGTATACTTCTAGGTCAGTACCCATGCCATTTACGTCAAGACCTATCGGTGATAGTGATATACATAGTCCAGGTCCCATGCCACTGACGTCAAGACCTATCGATGATAACACTGTGCAACACTTAAAAAAAAAGTACAGGGTATCTGCAGTAATTTTTGTATATATATACTTAGTAACATAGAAAATTTATTTCTGGCTTTCTTTTTGTTGAATTAGGTATAGTTTTTGCAAAATTGCTACAGTCGTGAATTTCAGTAAAAACGTCGAAAATGGGTTACAGCCGTCTTTGCGGTCACATATTATGTGTATTATATTATAAATCTTATGAGAAAAACACAGTTTAATATACGCATATTATGTACATTAGTCTGTTAGACCTAGCTGTAGTGAGTTTACAACAGTGTAGCACTAAAAGAAAGTTTATATGCTCAATGTTATACTTTTCTAGTTTCAGTTTATTGATTTGTTTGCACAGTAAAATTTGTTGCACAGTGTAATTATATACCTAGGTCAGAATCCATGTTATTTACGTCAAGACCTATCTCTGATAGTGATCATTCAACATAGGCCAGGTCTCATGCCGTCGACGTAAAGGCCTATCGCTTATATACATAGGCCAGGTCCCATGTCACGAATGCCAAGACCTATAGCTGATGGTGATCTTCCTAGGTCAGTACCCACGTCATTTACGTCAAGACCTAATTCTGATAGTGATATACATAGTCCAGGTCCCATGCCATTGACGTCAAGAACTATCGGTGATAGTGATATACATAGGCTGGGCATATCTTGTATGAATTATGGTCTGATGACCTTACAAAACGTAGGTATAATGCCAGATTTGATTCCCCTAAAAATTGATACCGGTAGATTACTGATTCCCAACCCTCACTTGGCCCATGATTTGCTCACGAAAATGAGAAAACATTACAAAGATCAACGACTAACAATTCAACAAGTTGTTGATCATGAATTCTGGAAAATTATCAACGTTTATTTTTTTTAGTTTAGATTTATATATGTTTATGAAACATTACCAAATAATGAATTATAGTCGTTTATGCTAACCGTCTACAACTTTTCAACTTACACTGCTTGAGCTCTGATTTACCTATAAAAAAAATATTGATTGTCAAATTTGTCCAAGGTTTAACTCTCTTGATTTGTATTTATTAAAATTTATTGTAAAATTTTATTCTACATCTGATCACCCAGAGTGAGTTTAATTTTACAAAAAAATTTTAATCATTGCTTCGTTTGGAAAAATTGCCCTGAAGTTTTTTATATTTCATAAAATCAAATTTTGGTTTATTAGACAGATTAAAGAAAACTCATGACATAGACTTTTGGAGTAAGTGAACATTATTTTTTTGTTTCATAGTTAACTAATATATCATGTCTTATCGTCTGAACCAGGGATATGCAACGTTTCTCTCGGTGGGCCATATAACCAACCTCAGACCTTTAGCTGGGATATTCAAAAAATTTACACAGCACCCCGGGAAAGGCGGGAAAAGAGAATGAGAATGTATCTAAGAGTTATGTCGTTACTGGGCAAAACGAAAAAAAAAGCTTGATGGTAAAATATCTGAGTGTTGACCTGGGCCACATCAAATGACTTGGCCGGTCGGGTTGTGGCCCACGGGCCATCTGTTGAACACCCATGTTCTGAACATTTGTAAAGTGTTTCTAATTGAATTAATGGGAACGCAATACTATCATATGTGTATATTTGCAATATTAAATAATCTCCCTTGATTAATTTTGATAAACTAACAAACATTTAAATAAAATTTAAATTTAATAAAAGAAGCTGAATGTGTAGTTGATCCCGCCATAAAATCTTTAGTAAAAATATATACATATTATATACATTATATATAATTTATTTTTAAACTGTCAAACTCTTATACCTTTTTGGAAGCACGAGTTTTCTGTACTCAATCTATCTTCAAATTTATCCATGCTTCATCAAATTGTCATGTTTCCTTGAATTCCCTGGGCAAATATTCCTCTGATTTTAGAATTGTTTATGAATATCGTTATTGTCGTATAACTTTGCAAATCCATTAATTGTGCGCCGCATAAGTTCAAAGTATAGGGATTAGATTGGTTTCCCTTTGGTATGTGATCTCAGAGGTTGTGAGATCGGAGTGATATTAGTATCAACCTAACTCTTGACCAGCGAAGACGGGATTGGAAACTGAATTGGAATTGAACTGAATGGCATGGCGGTGTGGCCCATCGTACTAAGCGTTATAAATACACTTGCCACCGCACCTCTGATCACTCTGCGTGAGTTCGTAGGTTCGAATCCCATGTGGGGATAGTTTTGTGCGAGAGGATTGCTGGACCCCTCGCCGTCGCTGGTAGGTTACAGCTTCCTCCATCATCAAGTCTATGTTTCCGAAAAATAAATAACTAACTAATCCCATACCCGACGTGAAATGGTAAACGGACCAGAGGCCGGGGATCGGCTAAACCAGGGTCGTCCAACCCGTGGCCCGCGGGCCATATGTTTTCAGAATTGAATAAAAAAAATTGGATAAAAACTTTTTTTCGAGTGATGTGAAGAAACGATAAAGGTGCCATAGCCGCTTACACACTTGGTCTTTTGCTACTCCATATGACGTAATCGCAAAACAATCGAAGCCATTCTCAGATTGAGATTTCGTTAAGGAGTGTATATTATGTATTGTTCGAGTTGCCAATGTTTTCCGTCCGGAAATAAAAGAGGTGTTCGCAAAAATAGCCTGTCAAGACAGACCATAACTCGTCATGTCGAAGAGCTTGAGAACTCTATCGCGGAAACTTTAATTGCAAAGGCGGGAAAATTTTCATCGTATTCGTTGGCGCTTGACGAAAGCTCTGACATCAAGGTTACTACTGCTCAGTTGGCGATCTTCTTGCGGGGAGTTAATAATGATTTTGAAATTACCGCAGAGCTCGCAGCCATTGTCTATATTAGGGTACGACTAGAGGCATTGGTCTTTTGGTAGCTGTGATGAAAAAGATCAAGCGTCTTGACTTGTTTTTGGCGAAACTTTCGAAAATAACTACTGATGGCGCCCCGTTTACTATTCCGAGATCTACAGAAGGAATCTCCACTTGGCAGCTCACAAAGCTCTCCGACAAGTAGTCATGATGAACTTTTGCTTCCACATTTTGAAAATGGAACTTTCAAATCAGATTTGTCAACAAAACAAAAAACCAAAAGGTTTGTATATTTATATGTAGTAATACCTGGTCCCTATTTAGTCACAGTCTTATTTGAATTCTTGTCCTGAGCATTGTTTGGATGGATGATTACCTAATAATCCAAATGTTATTTTCTATGTAGCAAGAAAATCTCTTGTCTATCACATGGTATAAACTGGAATTAGCCAAACATGTTTTGTAGGTATTATCTTCGAACAATATATTTTGGAATTACCATGATTATTCATCACTGCAGATATCATTATGATACAATACCAAATAAACTCAATTAAATTTTCATCCTAAAACTAATCAATATTAATTTCAGTCATTCTTCACAAGTTGCAACTTCATTATCAAAGCTTTCTTAATAATTTCCACTTTGCAAAATATCTTGAAGAGAATGAAAAGATTAGAAACGCATCTTTGACATCAGAAGGTGCGAATATTGATGTCATCTTTACTTTCATTCTTTTTTGAAATTGTTTTCTAAATTATCTTACATTTTCTTTAAATTGGCTGGTTCATGTTGGAGAATATGCTATTACGATATATGAAATAATTCCATTTTTAATTTCCACGAGAAAACAAATAGTTAGCATAATTCATATTAAAGTTATTTTAGTAAATTTAAAAAAAAAATTCTGTCTGAAATTTTTATGGCTTGTAGATTAGTATTACAGCTTCTTTCAGACCGTCATTCTTCTCCCTGTTGTGCCTGAAAAAAATTAACAATGTGAAGTAGGCTATCGTATAAAATTTATTATATATTTTGTATAAATTGAACCATAAAAAAACTGAAACCCTCGCCTTCTGAACGGTTGCACGAGAACTATGAAAACAAACAGGAAATTTGACGATTGTAATAAAATGTTCTCAAAACAAATTGACTGCTAACATGAAGACTATATAGAAGCAAAAAATTGAGATTAAGTAGAGATTTTCAAAATATGTTTTTTTAAATAGATACTCACAACTGCTGGTTCAGTGTGTTGTGTCTGAGGCTCAGCTGCTGAATCCGACTGATCTTTTTGTTGACTCATCGTAAAATCAACTGCCGAATTTTGTTTTCCACTTCTCGATACTCTATGTTTTCGAATATGAGATCGCCTGGTTAAAAACATTGTAAGTCAAAAAAAACGTTATCAATATGAATAAGACTTCAGAAGACACTCGTCTTTAAAATAAATACACTTTTTTATAATTTTTTTCATTCCTATATAATGACAAAAGAAAATTCAAAAAGCCAATTAAACACAAATAACTTTCTGATTTGTAAAGAAACGATGGGATCAATCTATCTATCTATGATGTGCTAAGATAGTCTGTCTAATATTACGCCATGGTACAGTGATAATGCTATTGATATCAAATATGATTACCTTCTTTCCACACAATATACAGTAATACGAATGATGATAATGAGTACTAGAATATAGCAAAGCACAATCGCAGCTACTTCCCCTGCAGTAAGTTCACGTACTGAAAAAAGAATGGGTAAAACGCATATTAACATTTATTTTTAAACCTAGCTTTTAAGGTTAGTTTCTTTGAATTCTATTTTGTAAACCACATCTTATATTAAGGATTCTCCAAATTTCATTCTATCGTTTTCCAATCGCCAAATTTCAAAAGTAAAATTGAATTTATCAACGGTGATATAAAATTGGGAACTGCCGTTTGTGTACCCTAAAGAAAATATGAACAAGTGGTGATGATCTGGACAGTCTCTCCCTAGTAAGATGAAGAATTGTCAATTATTGCACAACCGCTATATGTGATACAAATAAATATGTTTACATACAGGTTTGTTGTAAAATTTACCCCAATCCAGCCCTGATGGATGAATGTATTTTCAATATAAAATCTCTGGCTCTAATGATATGCGAATGTTTAAGATTCAAAGTTTTGAGATCAAGTTTATATGACTGACTTGTTGTTCAGCAATAAATGTTTGAATATGAAGAAGGTACAGGTTCTCATCCATGCCTGACAAGGTCATATAGTTCACAGTCAAAATACATATATATAATTCACAAAGTGTATTTTTCTTACATGAAGTTTTTACAACTACACTCGGTTTAGTACAAACTGAATTGTTATCTTCATTCGCACCACATACTCGTATAGTGTAGGCGGTGTCTGGTTTCAATCGTCCATTACATTCTGTATTCGTACCCGTTTGGCAAGTATTGTCAGCACCTTTATGCATGGAAGTATGTAATGATATTTTGAATCCATAATCAGCATGAAAGCGATACATGAATGATAAAAACCACATTAAAAGCATGAATATGGATGCCAGGAAAAATACTGTAATCAAGTTTTAATGGTGTTAAATTATACAAAATGATTATGAAGACATTTGAAAAAGAAGGTGCACATCTTTTCTTAACCATGAGTAAGATTAAAACAAAACGGGTGTTTCCCCGAGAATCGACTCCCATGTTTACCTCCGTAAGAGCAGTTGCTCCGAACTTTTTTTCACTCAGAAATATTTTTAGGTATGATTTTAAACATTCATATCGTTCTCGTTTTTTGACTGCCATTGGACAGTTTTAGACATGGTCGTAAATATAGGCATAATACAAAAAATTCAGTGGTTTTCAGAGTTTCAATCCCGAAACGGTCCCGAAGAATAAGATAAAATAGACTATGATTAGCTGTCAGTACTTCATCTGGGAGTAACTCGATTATTTAAAAATAAATTGTGTTTCTGAATATGTATAATCGTTGACACACTCATGCACACCAAAACATTTTTAAATTAAACATCAGAAAAACATAGTATGCTTTTGTAAAATTATCAGTCACGATACTAAACTTACCAATAACTACACCATTGTCCACAACAGCACGCTTTTTTCGATTACTGGTATTCTCGCATCGAACGGTAAAAGAAACATAAGGAGAAGAAACATCTTCTTGACTAGAAGTTGCCCAAAATCTTGATAAATCAATGCTCACTGCAAAATAAATAGGCACAATTAGTCTTTTATCATGTTGTATATAGTTCCATGGAAAATTTTTATTTTGAAACAAAATGAACAACAGACTATGAATCGTTCTGCTAGAGCCTTGTTGCAAGGATGAAAATCGCGTTTCTATTAAACCATCTTTCAAATTTTATGTATAGTTGAATATGAAGATTGCTACTAGAAGGACATATCATGCAAAATCCCCAAACCGATTGTTCCCTACTGGACATACCAAACAACGTTGGTTTTTACTAATTTGGTATCGCAGATTAAAATGGGTTCTAATCACATGCACAATAAATTACCCCGAGTGCAAAAATATGGATAGGGAATTCTGAATCTAAAAATAACTGGTCATTCCATAATATATTAGCTTCTGAGTCTTACATAAAAATGGCTTCTTATGAAGAGTACTATATGTAGAGCAAGGCATAACCATAAATATATAAATATTTATGAATATCATCTAATTTTTGAAAGTAAGAATAATTCCATTTACCTGTTGATCCATTTTGAGTAACTATATAAATCATTTTTGTAATTACTCCAGTATCTTCATTAAATACAACAGACTTTTCCTCACATACGTTGTTAACTGTGACAGTGTAATAGGGAGGGTGCGTCTCTTCATCGCTCGTATTTGTAAAAGATGTTGTGTAGTTTGGATCTCTGAGAGTAGGATCTTGAAAGTGTAACAAAAGTGCAATGTGGGAGTACATATATTTCATCATGTATTTGGCAGGTTCCACATTTGTATATTTGATCTGGCATGGGGTTTTTACATTGCAAAGTCTACAATGGATGTATATATAAATATTTCGCATTTTCTGACTTCTTTAACTCAATGTCATTGACTGCTTCTGTAGCATATGATTGGTTTAAAATCATTCCTCTCGGACAGTTTTTAATTTTATAAACAAATGCAAAAACAGCAGTCGTTTTAACATCTACAATGACATTTGGCTTCCTGCCAGACACATTTGTATTGCATTCAAAATGTTCACACAAAATGGGTGGGTTGGATTATTTTATAGCACAGAAAATAAACATTGTAACAACGCTATCCGAAGAAAATAAACTTACTTCCTGCTCTTGTCCGCTGTGATAAGGTAGTTCTTGAACTGGTTCCAGCTGCGGATACGGCAAATGCAGATATTCTGTAAATATAGAGAAGAAATAAATTATTGGAGGTTGAAAAAGTGTTGACACAAAATACAAGGAAGAGATTCAACAGAATAGCGGGTCTAGGTGAAAAGTTCGGTATAAAATTTCCTTGTGGAGTTAAAAAGGAGAATTGCAGCAAATCAAGCAGGTACATTGAACAAATATCTTCTATTTGAAGTAGTGAGAGCAGCAAATTCAGTTTTAAATGGAATACCAACGTTATGATGCAAAGGGAGAATTGTAATACGTCTCGGTGCAATCATATTTGCTTTTGTTTTTGTGATCCGTCTGACAAGTTGAAATATAGAGTGACAAAAAAGAACAACTCAGGTCTATTGGACATAATCTGGACAAACATACCTTTTGCGTAAAGCACGCTAGGACTACTGGAAAAACGTTTGTCTACAGTGTCATGTAAATTTTCTTTATTTTAGTAGATGCAATTAAGAAATTTATGGGTTCTGTTTTTAATTCACCTTGTGTAAAAAATTTCGCCAGTCAAAATATGACAAAAATGATTCCCACATTGGCATACCATTCATTTGCACATTTTTAAAATCAAGTTTTAATTATAAATACAATAGTCAATAGTAACAGGTGTAACAAACTTTGTTATGGCTTCATAACCTAAGCAATAAAACTTAACATACTTGTATGTTGTATATGCTATGAGTTCACTCAGAACCACAGTTGTGTTAGTAGACGTTAAAGTCTGAGCAGTGCAGTTGGGACAATTGGCCTGAAATGTATGAACCTATATTAATATTTATAATCTGTGAAAAGGCTTTTAATTAATAACTGTGGCATCAACTTCAAATGTTTAAACAAAAAATAACAAGCTAATTTATGATGTAAAATTTCTGCTTTAAAATCTTTGATATTAGATAATATTTATAGTATTAACAGATACAGATGCTTTAACACTTGTCAGTTTGAATTTGAATTTGATGAACTGCACTGCAACAAAATTTTGATGATTGTAGTATTTTTTGAGAAATTCAAAAGTAGAGTATAATACTTTTTTTGCAATATATAAAAAGAGTTAAAAGACGTAAATTCAATAGCAAGATACAATTGGTCAGTACAATGCACGGAGCTTGCACATAACGTATATTGTAAGAAACAGTCGTATTACCTGTATATATGAAACCAAGTAAGATGTTGCTCCATCTACAGCTTGTATTGTCAGTGTAAGCTGAACGTCACTATCACGTGCCACGGTGAATGACGGACTTGAAGGTACTGTAAGACAATTATATCAACTTCTAAAATTTTGTAATTTTAAATCGTATCTACTAGACTATTTTATTTGATTTTTTATATAGGCTATTTTAAACGGCGCCTTGACATCAGCGTCATTCTTGGCAAATATGGTTTGAGGTAGAGTTGAAAAATTTGAAATGCTATGATTTATCGACGTAAGGTGTCGGTAGATTCATTACTCTACGGGTGTTAAGAGCTTGAAATTACATTTAAACCAGTATCTACTGACAATATTGCTAAGAAATACACAAGTAGCTATTTGATGTGTCAATGATTCGCGATTAAACTGCACACTCTTCACCTGATCCACATATAATATTTTTGATATGCGATACTGAGCCAAAAAGGTTCGCGTTCTCCGAAACACATAGTACATCTTGTATGTACGTACAGCTAGGCTTGTTGTCCTGATACTAGTTTAAAGCAAATCTGTGGAACAATTTGTATAAAACATAATACATGTTCACGTAAATTTCATACCTGATGTAACGGTTGTTCCTGGTGGTAATTGAGATGAACCAACATCGTCTATGGATGATGTAATACGAAGCTTATAAACAGTATTATATGCAACATTTGGAACTGTTATAGATATCGAAGATGATAAAGATGCTGGAACCTGGAATAACGATTTTTATTTAGACTTAATGTTTCTGCATTTATTGAACGCAGATATGATTTATAAGTAGTTCCAAATCGGGGGCTCGGGGATAAGTTAGTGTGTGTTCACAATGCTAGAAGCAAAACTGATTTTACTTTGCCCTTGACTTCTTTTCATAAAAAAACGTTCTTCCTATGTTCATTGCTCGCTAAGGTTATTTCATCGGGTACTTTCACTCTGTTGAGCATTAACATAATGGTAGTCGGAATCTATCCATAAAAATAACACTATAAATACTACTGGAATCATAAACAGCGAGCCCATCAGTATAAAATGCTTACGAAAGGGGGCCACGAGCCATAAAGCTTGCCAGAATGCTTCAAGCCAGTAACAACATATTTTTTTATTATATATTTAATTTTCCTTTCCAGATAGTATCCAACTCGTTATTTCTTAACATTCCTATCCGTCGCGAAGTATACAGCAAATACAAAAGAAAACTCAACACCAGGTCTAAATCACAACACACTATGGTTATAAGTCTTTTTAGTTTCCATTAGAGATTCCGACTTTGACGTTTAGTATATAATATTTGAATCTAAAAAACGCACAACATTGTTTTGCGGAAATAACTCTAACATATTCTAAATTATTTGCGTATTTAAATATTATATATAAGCGCGTACTAACCGCCGCTTGCCGAGTTGATCCATCGGGCGCTATCAAGATTACTCCATGAGTTGTAGGTCCAGTAATCGGGGTTCCGACATTGAACGTCACAATAATTACTTTCGGTAGTGATACAGTCACTACATTAAAGATAGGGTTTGGTCCTGTAAAAAAGTATATGTTAAAATTAAAATGTTAATGTAATTGACATTCAGAGAATATATACTTCAGGATACTTACGTCCAGCGGCCGTAGTAAATGTAAAATTCGAACTTGATTCACCTCTCCCACCGAGAGATACGGCGACCACAGAGACGACGTATTTTCTATGTTAAAATGAGAAATGTTGAATATTATTATTATCTCATGTATTTACTAGATTTTATCAATTTATAACCTTATGTTATTTAGTGTTGTTTAAAATTACGAATAAGGCTGCAATGCTTACACATGACTGTACTGGCTAAAGCATTAACTCAGAGTTTAATCGTTTGTTGTCACACTGTGCTTTTCGCCATTTGAAAATCAGTAATCAGCTTCAACCTATGTTGTTTAATTTTATGTTTTCCTGGATATTCCAACATAAAATATATCTGTTCATTTTTTTATCACCAAATATTGTAAAAAATAGCATTGCAATTAATAAACAACTTTACCTGTAGGCTTGTAGGCCAGTTATTGTGTATCTGTTGTCAGCTGTAGCTGCGAATGTTTGCTGGTCGTTCTCATGGCAACTTGCGTCATTAAATGAATTGCAGTCATCGATATCTTGTCTATGTCAATAAAAAGAATGTAAATATGTTTCACAAAGTGATATATGTATATAGAGGGGAGTTATCAATATAGAAACCTGAAATATATGATTTCATACTAACAATATGTGATGCCATAACACAGTTTTTTAGTGTGGGTAGCAGGGACCATGGAATTAGGAAGAAAAGTTTTGGAGTCGTAGTCGTATTTTATTACCCTGGGTCGAAACTGGAGAAGAATTTGGTAAAGAATTGAGTAAGAAGTCATTATTTCTGAGTAAGGAACTTAAGCGTTTTCATTATTGTTACCTATCGATCTTAAGATCGTTCGGGCGTATTGTGACGTTCAATGCCGGAACCCCGATTACTGGACCTACATCTCATAGAGTACTCTTGATAGCGCCCGATGGATGGTATATTGATAGGTATTTGTCTGTCTGTCTGTATGTATGTCTATTAGATGAACGCGATATCTCACGAACGCGAGGTTGAATCTGCTCCAAATTTTGCATGTGCATGCATCATATCACGGACCAGAAGCCTATAGATTTTGGGTCGTATAATTAGCGAGATATTAATTAATTAATTATCGCTCGATCAATAAGTCTTCGGTCTCCGACCGATATTCCCGTTACATTATTGCTAACAAGAGTCGTAATATACAATCAGCTTAATGGATATCTCTAACTCGTGAAATGGAAAAACTTTTCTCTACCTAAAATATTTAATAATATGTTACCTCACTGTTATGATATATTGTGTGACAGCAATTAGAGTATTGTTTGGAGGTCTGATGACTGCGACTACTGTTGAACTGGTGATATTACTTATTGCAACGTCTTGAGGCACTTCGGGGACTGGATAGAAAATAAAATGAATTTAATGGGAAATTTGAATCTATTATATATTTAATTTTAATGGGATATCACGTAATATTTGTCGGTTTTGGTTTACTTTTATAATCGTTTTTATTAAAAAAAAATTCTAGTTTAAATCAATATCTACAAAATTTGGTGACAAAAAAGTTCGTTCTTCCTATGGTGCCTTATCATAGTAGAGAGATTTCGATTTAAACACCATGCTCAGGAATCTACCCAAAGTGAATCTATGCTCTATTTGAAGTATTCATGTTTTCTATAATACAGTTGAGCGCATGTAACATTGTTTCATGTCTAAAACATTAATTAAAATGAACGCTTTTCAATGCCTTGACTTTGAAAAGTTTACTTAACATAAGATCAATACGAAAAAGCTGCAAAGAAATTGAGTTTGACAACAATAAACGTTGATTCTGTAGGTTACAAAGTTGTGAAAAATAAAGTTATAATATATACATGGAACAAAAAACATATTCACATTTCAATCAGCTTTTTACGGAAACAATTTGAATAAAAATTTGATTGGTATGTTAAATGTCTTCAAATGAGTGTTTACGCATAAAGGGAACCAAAGAGAACTCTCTATATACCAAGTGTTATAGATATGAGAAGATGTTTTTTATGTACAGGCAGTCCTCAACTTACGACGTGGTTCCGTTCATGAGAATCGGTGTAACCCGAATTTCAGTGTAAGTCGGAACATTATACCGTACAGTACATAAATTACTCGTACGTACTCATATCGTACTGTATTGTCCACGTCATTTACGATGTATATGACGAAAACCAATGAGCCCAAAGCACTGATTTTTGTGATCACAATGATCCATTTTAAGGGCTTAGATATTACAGTACAGTATTATCTTTTTTATTTTTATGGAATGCGTAACCTCGAAACAGCGTAAGTCGCGACCGTCGTAACCCGAGGACTCCCTGTATATTCATTACGCTATACCTCCTATCGATAGCTTTTCGAAATGGAATTCGAAATATCACATTGCTCAGACCATATGGCAAACTCGACATTCTATAAGACTGAGAACTCACCAACTGCAGTATTACCTTCAATTAGCCCCTTCGATATCCGTACTACAAAGCACAGAAAAAGAATAATTTTCCACATTTTGGTTTTTCTAACTATTTTTCAATATATTCCATAAGTTATAAAAAATTCTAATACCCCCTGCAAAACGCAAAAATTGCATATTCAAGTTTAAAACTTGTTTGTATAGTATAACAGAATATTATAGTTTAGCGATGTACAGTACAAAACAATGTTAATCAAAAAGCATAAAGCAAGCAACTGTTAGGGATCCAATGGAAAATTGTTTTAAATATTTTCACGATAAATCATATAAGTTGCATAGACCAGCATTTGGGCGTTGCACAGAACCTACAGCATTATAAGTGGCTGTATAACGTTACGTTGCGACATTGTAGTTTCGTCGAAAAATTGAAAAATAAATTACTTTATATTAAGTTATTAAGTAAAAACCTTAAACTAATATTGACTTTTGCGGATGCCCAACATGGATTACAACATGCAATCCTGAGTTTAGAGTTTCATTTGTAATATTTGGCCTGAATTAAACTGACCTTACCCATACAGATACAGTACATACACCCATCCAACGTTCCCTCCAAGCTGCGAGGTGCGCGGCCGCGCAGCTGTCCGAGAATCCCCGCGCAGTACTTTCGTTCTGTGTTCTTTTCTATTTTTCCGTGCGGACCTTTTTTTTGGCGCTCACATGGCCTTCGCACAACTAAGCAAGCTCTTAGAGGGAACGTTGCCCATACACATGCACATACAGTACATTCACATACAGTACCTTACACATACAGTACCTAGTTTCCATGGAATAGTTTTCGATAGAAAACACAACATGCTCACATCTGTTCTCATCATGATCTTCGCAATATATATTTCATCGGCCGCAGTGGAAAGTCAAATTATTTGGAGCAATGTTTGATTTAATTGGTAAAATTATACAAAATCAAATTTTTGGTATATTGGTCTTAAAATAAAATGTTTTTTAATTTTTCGAAATCTTAGGTAATATTGTTTGTCTGATCCTATGCCTTTGTCATCCCGAAATATCGAAAAAGACCAAAATTGACGACAAATGTGTCGATGATTCAAATCAAAAATCATATTATAACTATATAGAAAAACATTGACAATTGTTTGATATAATTACTCTACAGGAAATTCCTTTTCTGCATTCGCATTGTTCGATCAATTTTGGAATCACAACAAATATGTTATTTTTAAATTTTCTTGCGTTATTACAGTATCGGTGTGTAATGTGTATTATGTGCTAAGAAAGTAATATTTTTTTTTTAATGCGAAGTAATTGACCAGAAAGAAAAGTCGGCCTGGGTTTGCCCAATACGCGAATTTTAAAAGTATTATTAAAAGCCACAATTTTAAAATTTATTCATGTCCAGCCAAGCGTTGTTGAGATTTTGATTTAGCAAAGCTTGATATATGATTTGGTCTTTATAAATCTTTTATTATCTTGTACATAGCCACACTGTGTCGCGTTACGCTTTGCAAAATAGAAATATTATTCATTATGTGTACTGAGTTAAAAGTGCTTTCACAAAACTTGCTGTCCAAATATTTAAATGATGTTGGTGATGCAAAGTTTCAAGTTTCTTTCACCTCTTACCTATGTGTACAAAAACTTAAGGCTTTAAGCTTGGCCTGAGTTTATTTATGTTTGGGCGCATGAAAGTTATGTTTCCTCAATAGTTGACCCCAGACAGAAACGTTTCCGATAACTTCCAATTGCAAAAATGTTTCTTGCTTTTTTAAAGAAGTTTTCTCAAAGTCAGGTCACGAGAACTTACTCAAGTATGAGAGAGAATGAATGGATCCTGAGTGAAGCTACTGGGACGACCAAAATGCCAAAAGCTACCGACACTATAAGCTGTAAATTCCACATACCTGAAATTCTTGTAAAACTTTAAGCGTACTTTGTTTGTTTACATTGATTTGATTTACATTTACTGTTTCAACTTTATGGCTAGTGGAAACGGGTCGTCTGGGTAAACTAACTGATAAAGATACAATATTAAGACTGTAATAAGATAAAAATAACTAAAAACTTACAAATAGAAAAACATAAAAGTACAAAGCTAATTGGTGTTTACATATCACGGTGGCAAATATTGATGAATGAAACAAGTGGCTGGCCACCTACTATTCTATTGTTGCGTCGCCATTACTGCTGTTAAGCCTTTGCTATAAAAACACAAATTGAGTCGATGCCTGCAGAAATGTTCACTCTAAATTCTAGAGGCTTCAGATCAGTTTACACACTCGCGATTTCAACTTGTTTTAATTTGTCTTGTAGCAAATGTGCTTCGTTCAGCATCAGGGCACGTTCAAAAATGTATCTTAAAAGAACACTAAGTTGAAATAGCCACATTCCCGAAACTCTTTTAGAACCGTGATGGGAGAAATTGTGATTTAACGTTAATCTAACGTAAAATAAGTAGGATTGATAGCGTGCGTATAACTATCCGGCATATTTCTCGGTAATAAAAATTTATCATAGAGGTATAACTTCACATAATCTCATAAAAATAACTTAATTAATATTTGAACATTTTTTCCGCCAAACGACCACGCAAATCAAACCGAAAATTTGTCTAAAGTGCGAATGAATCTTTCATTATTCCAACCTCAAGTCGGAGCTTAACTGGCACCCGAACGTAGTCTGACTAACGCCACTGCCACCGGGTGTCCTGGTCTAAAATACTTTCAGAGCTTTAATACATTATAGTGTTTTTTTTTTTTCATTTTATGAAACCCATATGACAGAGCATTCTATATACCAGGGATGGCGTGCCTTTTCCGATGAATGGGTCAAAAATTATAATTTTATCGCGGAACAGAAGATAGTGGGTCACATATATTTAATCAATGTTTGTATCAATAAGAAACTTCTGGAACAAATTTTATAAACTTCTGCTGATGTAGTTTTGTGCTTTATTTATGAAGCACTTCTATCAGGGACTCTTTATGGATCTCGATTTTATGAAATCAGAGTATGAAAACACGCATATATATGAATTACCAAAACGTTTTAGAATGATGCGGCAAATTATTTTACGGTTCCAAAGAATTTGGAGGTA